AAAAAAATTGTCATTTTTTTCATGAACTTTTTGACACCTCCTCTTACACACCGATATTAAACCAGCAATAACATTGTTGATGTGTTTCTCGGATTTAACTGATACCAAAAAGAAATCCTTGGAGGTTGCTTGTATTAACAAAGTGCAGTGTTACTATTAGGTATAATTTTATATATGCATTTTCTTCCCCCTCTAAATTATAGGTTAACTAATACCTATTCTCTTGGACTATTTCTGTAGGTTAAAAATGTTTCCGTAGGCACACAAGACATGCACGCACCACCGTCTGACTATGTGGAGAGAGTTGACGGCTCCATGGTCTACCCTTCCAATGGCAAAGTGAATGACAAGCGGCCCTACCTCGATTCTTCCTGCAAATCAACACCGTGAGTACTGTCTGTGCCGTCCATCCACTTGAATATCCAGCCATGTATAATAAAGCTGGTGGCTGATCTCTGCGTTGTAGGCAGAAGCCAAGAGCTTTGTGGAAGGCCACTGTGGCAGGAGGGAAGGCTAGGAACATTGCTCACTTCTAGTTCTGGCTTTGAGGTTCAGATGTGTGTGGAAGACAGTTGCTGATGGATAACAGTGTGGTCCTCGGTCTCTCCTTTTGCCTGTATAAGTAGATTTCCTTAGTAAAAGGGGAGTTTGCTCATTGATCAACCCTGTCCACCTCTGTTTCTGTTAAACTAGAATACTTCCATATAAATACAGATGCATACATATGTAAATCTATATATAAGGACAGGGACATAGATCTATGTAAAACATATTTGTAAGGTAGCAAGCGGACATTGGCCCTCTACTCAAATACTCTCTCAACACAAGAACACTTTGTTCTAAAAACCTGGCATTTTGTGATGCTCACCTTCCCAACATGATTGCTGAAGACAAAAAAGGGTGCATAAGCAAATGTGGTGAAGAAAGCTGATGGTGCCTGGTTATTAAAGATACAGCGTCAGGGGTCTTAAAGGCTTGAAGATAAACAAGTGGCCATCTAGCTGAGAAGCAACAAAGTCCATGTGGAAGAAGCACACCAGCCTGTGTGATCATGAGGTGTGGCTGGGATCGGGTATCAAGCATTAGAAGACGCAAAACAAGCTATCATATCGATGTGAATGAGGGGGGTTGGGGGGGGGGACCCAAAGCCCATCTGTAGACAATTAGACATTCCCTCACAGAAGGGTCACAAAGAAGGGCAAGCCAGCCAGGGTACAGTATAGCACTGACGAAACACACAGCATTCCTCTAGTTCTTTAATGCTTCCTTCCCCACAATATCATGACCCTAGTTCTACCTTACAAATCCAGCTAGACCAGAGCATGTACACTGGTATAGATAAGAGCTCTTGACACACAAAATCTAGGACAGATAAAACCCTCAGGAACAATAATGGGAGTAGTGATACCATGAGGGTGGAGGGAAGGTGGAGGGAGAAAGGGGGAACTGATCACAATGATCAACGTATGCATGGGTGAAGGGAGACAGCAGATGGTGTAAGATATGAAAATAATAATTATTTTGTAATTTATCAAGGGTTCATGAGGGTGGGAGGGTGGGGGAGGGAGGGAAAAAATGAGAAGCTGATACCAAGGGCTCAAGTAGAAAGAAATGTTTTGAAAATGATGATGGCAACATATGAACAAATGTGCTTGACACAATGGATGTATGGATTGTTATAAGAGCTGTAAGGACCCCCAATAAAATGATTAAATAAAAAAAGATTAGAATATTTCCTTTTGGAGAGAGCCTCGGCTAGGTAGGGGAGAGAAAAAAAAAAAAGAATATTTCCTTTTGAGGTCACAAATTCAATAATTTTGTTGCCAGGCTAGTGGACTGCGACTTCCCATACTGCAAGAGTACATTCATGGATAACACCTCTGAGTTTCAGTATGTTGTACTTTGTATTCTCTGTAATGTCCCAATACCTCCCAGTGAGTGTCTGCCCTGTAGTAGATTCAATTGTGATTGTTGAAATTCTATCATAACTGTGGTGTATTTTACCCTAAAGCTCAGTTCTAATTCAACTTAACGACTGGTGGCGAGAGAAGGATGTTGGAGATGTTGTTAGGGGTTTTGATATAATGTATGCTTAAAGATGATAGATTAGACTTCCTGTATATTTCTAAAGAGCCTTGGTGACATGTAAGTGCTTGGCTGTTAACCAGAAGGTTAGTGGTTCAAGCCCATCTGCCACTCTGGGAGACAGATGTAGCAGTCTGCTTCTCTGAAGATTGTATCCTTGGAAGGCCGCTGTATACTCTGTTCCATAGGGTTGCTGCGAGTCAGAAAGAACTTCATGCACACAACATTATCTAGAATTCTGAGAGTTTTGATGGCACCGTGGGGAAGCACCTGGCTGCTAAGTGAAAGGTTGGCGGTTTGAACCAACCCATCCCGTGACTCCACAGGAGAAAGATGTGACACTCGCTTCAGTAAAGGCAGTGCTGGCTGTGAAGGGCTGTCAAGTGGATTCAACTCAGAGCAAGCAGCCCTTTGTGCAGTGGAAGGAAAGACTGCCAGTCCTGTGCCATCCTTGCAGTCTTTGCTGTTCCAGCCATGGTTGCAGCCAGTATATCCATCTGTCTTGTCGAGGGCTTTGACTCTTTTTCGCTGACCTTCTACTTTACCAAGCATGATGACCTTCTCCAGGGACTAGTCCCTGCTGATAACATGTCCAAAACACATGAGACAGCATGTCACCATTCTCACTTCTAAGCATCATACTGACGGTGCTGCTTCCGAGGTAGATTTATTTGTTCTTTTGGCCATCAGTGGGATGTTCCGTATTCTCTGCTAATGCTGTAATTCAAAGGTATTAGTTCTTCTTTGACCTTCTTTATTCATTGTCAGCTTTCCCTTGCATATGAAGTGATTGAAAATACTATGTTGTGGGTCAGGTACATTTTAGTCTTCAAGTTGGCTTTTTTGTTTTTTAAAACCTTTAAAAAGTCTTTTGCAGCCGATTTGCCCAATGCTGTGTTTGTGATTTCTTGACTGCTGCTTCCATGGGCATTTATTATAGATCCAAATAAAATGAAACCCTTGTCAGTTTCTATCATTTTTCATTTATCATGATGTGTTTATTGGTCCAGTTGTGGGAACTTTTGCATATGCTGAGGTGTAATCCACAATGAAGGTTGTAGTATTAGTCAATTATTCATCAATAAGTGCTCCAAATCCTTTGGGCTTTCAGCAACCAGGCTTATTTATTTAAAAATGTTTAATCAATCATTTTATTGGGGGCTCTTACAGCTCTTATAACAATTCATACATCAATTGTATCGAGCACATTTGTACATATGTTGCCATCATCATTTCCAAAACATTTTCTTTCTACTTGAGCCCTTGGTATCAGCTCTTTTTCCCCTTCTTTCTTCACCCTGCCACCCTCGTGAACCTCTGATAATTTATGCATGATTTTTATTTTCATATGTAACACTGTCCGCTGCCCCCTTCACCCCGTTTCTGTTGGTTTGTGTCATCTTTATCTTGCGGGCTGTTCGTGAGCGGGCCTCCATCCTGATGCCGCGCTCTTCTTTACCCCCAGTTCCTTGGATGAGCTTCTCAGCACACAGATTGAATCAATGCAGTGCAAGGTTACAATCCAGACACAGACTTTTCCAACCACAAAATTTCTCCTTGTTCTAGTCAAACAATTGCCTCTTGGTCTCTGGCCAGGTTCTGGATGAGTACAATGAAATGTTCTAGAATTTCTGTTCTTCTCAGTATTATTCGTAATTTGTTATGAACCACACAGTCTAATGCTGTCACATAATGCAACACAGGTAAACATCTTTCTGGCATTTTCTGCTTTCTCTTGCATCACTTTTTTTCTGGAATGGGCATGAATATTGAGCTGTCGTCCAAATTCCCGGCATAGATGCTCAGTGTGTTCAAGGCTGCATCCACTTGTTGAAGCACTTCAACGGGCATTCTCTCAATTCCTGTGACCTCGTTTTTCTCCACTGCTTTCAGAGCAGCTTGGATTTTTTTCCTTGTATACTATCGGTTCTTGATCTTATGCCATCTACTGAAATAACGTTTATAGAGTGACTCTGTATTCCGCCCATCTGTCTTTGAGGCTTCGTGTGTCACTGAAGGAGCCCTGGTGGTGGAGTGGTTAGGCATTGGGCTGCAATCTGCGAGGTGGGCGTTTGAAAGCACCAGCTACTTTGAGGGAGAAAGACTAGGCTTTTTATTGCTATGAACAGTTGCAGTCTCGGAAACCCACAAGAGGATCAACATGCACTCTGTTGGAGCCTGCCGACGAGTCGAACAGTCCTGAAAGGGGGAGTGAGGATTAAGGAAAAAAAGGGACAGGGGAGGGCAACAGTGAATACTGAAGCCCCGAGTTTATTCTACACCTTCCTTTTATACATGCAGAAACAACCCGGGGTTATAGTTTTCTCATTGTTAAGCAAGCACATTGGATACACATCAGCAACTCTATGTTTTTCCAAGTCAAGCATTCTTTGATAAAAATTAAACATTCTGTTTTCCCAGAACTTGCATATGACCTTGTTCTTTTTCTTAGTCTCAATGTCAAACCGCAGAAACAAACAGCAGATACTGACACCTGGGTCATGATATCTCAACTATTTCAAGGCTTAGTCTCCATGGCCTTCAACAGCACTCCATGGCAGTGAGTTCTGGGTTTGGTGTCATTGAAAGGATCACTGGTGGTTTAGTGTTTAGGTACTAATTGCAAGGTCATCCTTCAAAAACACCACCTGCTCCGAGGGAGAGAGAGGGGACTTTCTACTTCCATAAACAGTTACAGTCTTGGAAATCCAGAGGGACAGTTCTGCCCTGTCCTAGAGGGTTGCTATGAGTCTATCAACTTGATCAATGGCAGTGAGTTTTTTGAGTGAATGTCATTGGATATACTTGCCCTTCAAATCCCTAAGTACTGTGACTTGGGGCTTGAATTTTTTTTCTTCAGTTCTTTCTTTGCAAATGTTGATTATGTTCTTCCTTGTGGTTTTGTAAGTCCAGGTCTTTGCACATGTCTTTCTTAAGTCTTTGTCTTTTCGAACTGCCGTCTGAAATCTTCTGTTCAGCTCCGACCTGTCATTTCACAGCCTAAAAAAGTCTTAAAGGGGCAGTTCTAGCCTATCACGTGAGATCACTCTGAATCAGCAATGACTTGGCAGTACACAACAGTCCGTAGTTCTCGAACTCCAAATCCCTTTGGAAAGCAAATAAAAACAAACTGCCTTTTAGGTAGTTTGTTTTGAATTAAAAGGAGATCCATTGGAAAGCTTTCTCTATTTCAAATTTAACTCCCTAACCTCCCACCCCCATTACCTGAATTCATAGTAATTTGCCCAGGAATCTCTATAAGATGATGTTAGCAGCTGAGTCCACTGCAGAGTAAGTTGGAAGACAATAGGCCTTATTATCGCACTGGAATGGAATTCAGAAACCGAGCACACTGGCAGCCTGCCTACCACCCGTGGATTTTGTTTTGGTCTCTGCTCTGCCCGGTTTGTTCAGACCCTTCAGCACCCCACTGTGCTCTCCTTCCCCGGGACTGATTTCCATCACGAGTGATTAGAAGGAAGGGCATTCTCTGTGTCCTCCTTTCCTCTCTTTGGATTTTAACCAGAAGCACAACATGGAGAATCCCAATCACCATTAACCCAAGACTGATCCCTGAAGAAGAGGTCGAATATACCTTCTCTGTCCAACCTTTTTACCGATTATAACACCAGCTGCCCCTGCCCAAGTCATATTCTACTTCTCAGCTGGGTTCAGTATTCATTGCCATGACCACACAAACAATACTCATGATTATGGAATGTATTACGGGAGCGGCAGGTTACATCTGAGAATCAGGATATATTTCCCCTGGAAGGACAGCTGCTTCTCAAATATGTCTCTTTCTGGCCCTCAACCCCTTTGGCCTGCGTGGCCTGGCCTGGCCTCTTGCTCAGGCAAGGGTTACAAAGCACCTAACTGGTGTTCCACCCTAGTGTCTTCTTGGCAGTAGTGGGGTCCTCTCTCTGCTCTGAGATTAACTCCCTTTTAAGCCAACAGGGTGGCAAAGTTGACCAATACTATAGTTTGGGCTTTATACAACCATATTTACAGAGCCCCACCCTGCAGGAATTTCATGTGCCGTAATTGCAAAGTCCCACTCAGTCATTTTGTGGGAGTCAACAGTACAGCAGAAAAAGGCCACATTAAAGCAGTGTATTGCACTGCAGGTACACCCCATGCCATACTGTTCACACCCAACCAGAATTGCCCTCTATAAATCAAGACCCAGGAATTTGAATGCTCCCATGATGTAAAGCTGTCAAGGCAAGCAGACAGAGTGCCAAATGAGACCATTGTGTGGTAGTGGTAGGTTGCTAGGACAGTCGATTAGAACTTTTATGCAAGTTATAAAGTTAGAGAAGCCCAGCTCAAACTAACTTAAGCAAAAAGAAGAAATCACTGTCTCGTGTAAGGCCCCAGGATGGATTGAGCTCTAGGTATGGCCAGGCACTCTCATGTTTTTGTCTCAGCCTATGTTGTGACCAGACGGCCATCCACATCCCCTCAGCCCGGTGGTGCCCCAGCTCAGCATTCAGAAAGCGCTTTCCATCTACACAAAGGGATGGTTCTGAGTGGTCTTTGGGTTATCGTCATGACTGAGGCTGGGATGGAGGAGTTCTCTGATCAGAGCACCCCAAGTAAACACAACAAGTTTATAAAATGCCATGTAAAAATTGCAGTACAGGTTATGTAGTGTTTCTCCTCCCTCACCGATACTGGGTGTTAGCAGAAAAGGAGGATTCTTGTGAATCAGTGGGCACGTTCCAGCTGCAAATAGTACTGCCGGGTTCATGTTCCACGTTACTCAGTGTAGTTGTCATTTTCTCATCGGCTGTTCCGCTTTAACTGATAGTGCAAGGTAGGAGAAGCAGCAGCACAGAGGTGTGGGAGCCGCGGGGGTGGAGAACAAGCAAATGAGTGAATAATTTAAAAGAATGGTTTAAAGCAGCAGTTCTCAACCTGTGGGTCACGGCCCCTTTGGGGGTCAAACAACCCTTTCACAGGGGTTGCCTGATTCATAACAGCAGCAAAATTATAGTGATAAAGTAGCAACAAAGAAAATGTTATGATTGTGGGGTCACCACAACACGAAGAAGTGTATTAAAGGGTCGAGGCATGAGGAAGGTTGAGAACCACTGGTTTAAAGGCTACAAAAGACCAAGCTCCCGTACCGGGAGTCTGTGAGGTCAGGAACCCATGTGCCAGGGAGTGAAGAGGTGGGTAGTACAGATGTCTGATAGGACGTGTGCGCACAGATGAGTTTAAAGGTTGTTGAGAATACCTGTATTCTTAACTCCTACTTTTTCAAACGTTTTCTTGTGCTTTAGGTAAACGCTTAAACAGCAGAATAGTTTGACCATCGCTCATTCCCCTCTCTCTCCACTCCCCGTTTCTGGGGTCTGAGTCCCTTGTCCCTGACTGCCTTTTGAGCTTTGATGTTACACAAATGTTGCCGTTCTTGGTTTCACAGTGTTGATACACCTCTTTACTTACATTTTACTTGCTAAGAACGTTTTTCCTAGCTTTCAGGCCGGATTAACTGTGTTACTCTTTGGTGTTTTGAAGGGTAGAGGGAAAGGAGAGGTGGAAATTTTCCAAGGTAAGGACTTCTAATGTCAATATCTAAAATCATAATATGAAGGCAGGAGGCCTACTTTGTGTTGTGTGTGGGTTTGTTTGTTTTTTCTGTTTCGTTTTGCTCTTTAGCTGCCTCCCCATCTGGCCTTTGGCCCCTCAGGTTTACTACCTGGAAGCCAAGAAGTGTAGTATCCGTTTGGGCACAGTGTCCAGGAACATGTTCCTCATTGACTCGGGGAGAAGGTCACACGTTCCTACCACCAGTAGTGTCAACGCAGCATACAGAGCTGTGTTACCTGAAGAAACTCCCATAAAGCCCACCCCACCTCCAACCTGCAGGGAGGTAGGTGGGGGTGCCTACAAGAAATTAATTAGTGTGACAGGTGGAAACAGAAGGCTCTGACCACAGTTAGACTCACGTGGCCCCGGATCGCTGAGAAAACAGCAAAACCTGGTGGGTACAGCTCAAGGTTCTAGTTGTTAGAAGTTAAAAGTAAGCAAGAAGAGGGAAACAAACACTTTCAGGTTTTGTCCTACTGCAGGGGAAATTTCCGATTTGCATTTCTGTTACCCAATAGTAGCTTACAGTTGCCATATAATTACAGCAGCTAGAATTTTGTCCTTGCAGAACCATCATGTACCCTTAAAATGTGACACAGCATTAAATCATTACATTGGAAAAACAGCAAATATGCATAATGGAAACTCATTTCTTTCATCTGCACAGCTTCAGGCGTAACACTGCAATTTGAAACAGAATCCTTCATGAGCACTTTAACTTATTAAGATATAAAACTTTTACTTAGTGTATCTTGCAAAGGGAACTGAGAGAGGGCTCTGTGAAATGAACTTCACAAAGCCTTTGTCTCTAAGAGTCCAGCTTCCAAAGGTAGATGTGTAATTGCATTCCTCTTCCCCATGCAGCATTCCTTGGAACTGGGAGAATCTGTAGAAAAGAGTCACGATCTGTGTTCTTGACAGACGTGTGCATAACCAGTGCCTGACACAGGTCGGGTAAAAACAAACACCTCTTCCAGACCAACCTGAACTTTCTAAGATGAAATCTGGGGTCCGCTTTAGGTGGCAAAGGAGCCTTAAAGCAGCCAGTGTGCATTAGAGAGTGAGCTGGAGCTAAAGCAAATGCAGGAAGCTAGAGACCTGCTGGGTGTTACGCCTGTGAACTTTGGCGAGGAGAGGACACCTACGTGTGGCACATCTGTGTTCTTGTTGCTGGCTCTCTAGCATGCAGAGTGTGGGCAGAGGAAGTAGTGCACCTAGTAGTCACTGGGAAAGATTCTTGTTTTCTAGGGTGCCGGAGGTGGCTCAGGAGCTTCCCCTAACTTCTGCTGTGGACGACTACAGACAGCCCCCTTACAGCAGCAGTGAGAACTACGAGACGCCTTCAAAATGGACTTCTGCCAAGGGAAGAGCAGGCAAGCCCAGGAGAAGCGAGCAAGACCACTATGAAACAGACTACACGACGGGTGGCGAGTCCTGTGATGAGCTGGAGGAAGACTGGATCAGGTACCCAGCCAGAGCCACACCTGCCACCCCCACCCCATCCACCCCATTGTGAGTGTGGGCCAGCTGGCTCTAGAGCCACCTAAGCTGGGATGCGGTCTCACTCCCTGACCATCCCCACCCTCCACCCCCTCAGTAGCCTTTTAAAATTGCGATTGAGATGGAATGTGTTTCCACTTAGGGAAAATAAGATATCCTTCTCACCCCTCAAAAAGAAAGAATTTTAGAAACAGTGTCATATACAAACTAAGTAGTAACAGGAAGCACCCAGGTTGTTTGTCATCAGGATGTACTTTATGTTCCTGGATCCCAGTTTAAGGAGTATAAACACAAGTATTTTAGGGTCATGTGGTAGTGTCTATTCAAAGTAAGGGATTTTCAGTTCCATTTCTAAGAATTATCTATGTGTAGTTGCTTTAAAACAAAACAAAGCATGAACAGCATTGTGTAAGAATTGTGTTTTGGGGTTTTTTTAAAATAGTTTTTAATTCCATTTATTTGCCTCCCACTCTTAAGAAACAGAAAATAAGAGGATCTCATGCTTCCATAACTCACCAGCCTTATTATTCTTGAAGAAGAAACACTTCAGGGGTCCTCAAACTTTTTAAACAGGGGGCCAGTTCACTGTCCCTCAGACCGTTGGAGGGCCGGACTATAGTTTTAAAAGAAATTGAACAAATTCCTATGTACACTGGACATGTCAGCTGCTAAGCAGGACAGGCAGCGGCGGCAAAAACACCCAGCTGGCTGGATAAATGTTCTCGGCGGGCCGCATGTGGCCCGCGGGCCGGGCCGTAGTTTGAGGACCCCTGCATTAGATTATAAGCCAGATAGAGGCACAGCGAGAGCTCTAGTGGCCTAGAGGTTATGTGCTGTGCTGCATCGGAAAGGTCAGTGGTTCAAAACCAGCCACTCCTCTGGAGAAAGACAGGGAGGGTTTCCTACTCCTATAAACACTGTCTCAGAAACTCCCAGGGACAGTTCTACCCTGCTCTACAGGGTCGCTAGGAGTTGGCATCGACTGGATGGCGGTGAGTTGAGTTGAGGGGCACATAGGAGTCCCGGTGGTGCAGCCAGAGTGGCTGTAGGAGAAAGAGGTGCAGTCTACCTTCTTGAAGATTTATATACAGCCTTGGGAATCCTATGGGGCCTCCTATGGAAACCCTGTAGAGTTGCTAAAAGAGCAGGAGTACATGTGCATCTCTTTCTTTCTCAATTTTCAGGGAATATCCACCTATCACTTCAGATGAACAAAGACAACTCTACAAGAGAAGCTTTGACACTGGCCTGCATGAGTACAAGAGCTTACGAGCAGAGCTCGATGAGATCAGTCAAGCATTGTCTCGGTTGGATAAAGAATTGGATGATTATAGAGAAGAAAGTGAAGAGTATATGGTAATCTAAAACCGGATATTTATAAATTATTTAGAATTTTATATTAATCCATGATGATACAGTATCCTTTATACTAATGATTGATAAAAAATCTGCTTAGAATCACACTGTAATTTCATTGAAGGGTAATTGAAAATGAGTTGGTCCTAAGTCTTTTCCAAATTGAAGAGTTGCACTAGTGCAGATAGAGTTACAAAGCAATATTCTATTTATTTGCCTCTCTTCCAGTTTCAAAGAAAGTAACCATATCTATTATATCTATAAGCTTAATTTATCCTTTGTTTTAAAAAATCCAAACATTGCACAAATGTGTAAAGACAAATTGCTTTCAATCGCACCACCCAGATATCATCAATATAATGATGTTTTTAAAGTATCCTTATTATGAAGGAATGCATACACCCACCCACCTCATCTTATGTACTTTCCATGAAAACAGAGCATCTAAATAAATTACTTAGAATTCTTCGACACAGGAGATTTGTGTACATATAGTCATTCACTTTTCATTTATCCAAACCCCTAAGTAGATTCTTCGATCTCTATTTTATGCCTGTGTTATAATTCAGTGCTACTTTCCATATAAGAAAGAGCCAGTGGCACTAAAAGCAGGCCAGGCTTCACTGAAAGCACAAGCCACAACAAGCCTTGAAGAATTGATGGGACACGGGTTGATGTGTTTCAATAAGTTGATGAAGCACTGGAAGCATTCACCCATCTAGTCCAAGAAATCTGAGTGATAGCTACTTGGCCAACTGACTGGAAGAGACCCATATCTATACTCATTCCAAAGAAAGGTGACCCAACAGAATGCACAAATTATGCAGTAGTATCATTAATATTACATGCCAATCAAATTTTGCTTAGTAGCATCCAGCAACATTTGAAGCATTCCATTGGTCAGATTCAGACAAGGTCATGGAACAGGACATAATATCATTGCTGTTTTCAGCTGGATCTTGACTGAAAGCAAAGAATACCAGGAAGATGTTTACTTGTGTTTCATTGACTATGCAAAGACATTGAACTGTGGGGATCATAACAAACTATAGATAGCCTTGAGAAGAACAGGAATTCCAGAACAGTGCTCCTGTGGAACCTGTACATGGCTTGAGAGGCAGTTGTGTAAACTGAATAAGGAGTACTGCATGGTTTAAAACCAGGAAAGGTGTGTCAGGTTGTATCATATAACCATATTTATTCAATGTTTGCTGAGCCAATCATCAGACAAGCTGTATTATATCAAGGAGAATGTGGCATCAAGATTGAAGGAAGGCTTAGTAACATTCTGTGATATGTTGGTTGACACAGCTGCTGGCTGAAAGTGAGGATTTAAAGCACTTACTGATGAAGATCAAGGATTACAGCTTTCTGTATGGATTACAGTTCAATGTAGAGAAAATCAGAATCCTCACAACTAGACCAATGAGTAACATCATGATAAATTGAAATTGTCAAAGATTTTTGTCTTGCTTAGATTCACTATCAGTTGCATTGGGTAAGTCTGTTGCATAAGAACCCTTCAAAATATTTAAAAATAAGGTTGTTACTTTGAGGATTAAGGTGCACCTGCCCTTAGCCATGGTATTTTAATCACCTCGTGCATGTGGAAGTTGGACACTAAGGCAGACTGAAGAATGATTGATGCATTTAAATTATGCTGGTAAAGAACATTGAAAGTTCATTCCATGGACTGCCAGAGAGCAAACAAATCTGTCTGGGAGAAGTATAGCCAGAATGTTCCTTAGAGACAAGGAGGCAGGTCTTCATCTCACATACTTTGGACCTGTTGTCAGGAGAGACCAGTCCCTAGAGAAGGACATCATACGTGGTAGAGTTTAGAGGGGCAGCAAAAAAGAAGGCGGCCCTCAAGGAGAAGGAAGGCTTGACACAGTGGCTGCCACAATGTGCTCAAACCTGTGCACATGTGAGAATGGTGCAGGGCCCGGGTGGTGCTTGGTTCTGTTGTACATCGATTCCGTTTGAGTCAGAACTGACTCCACAGCAGCTAACAACAACAGCAACACTTACTTTGATGCTCAAACTGTTCTCGCTCTGACCATTGGGAGCCCTGTCATTTGGCTCTTAAGGCCTTTTGACACACCTACCCCATCATATGGGATTTTCAGTACTTCCTTACTTTCTATTACTACTTGTGTCCTGCTGTATTACCCAGTCATATTTTATAGTTTTCTTCTCATGTCAGTAACAAAGACCTAGTTATTGTAGAGATAGCTGCATGATATTTAATTTTATGGTTATACTATTATTACCAATTTTTATCTACATCTTCCTTTTGCCTCCCACCCAGATAGTCCTTCTATATTCCGGCGGGCCTCCTCACATTTGTGTGCAACTCTGTTTACCACAAAACCAAAAACATTCCAGAGTAGAAGGTTAAGCAACTTTAACTTTCGGATACATATTGTTGCAAAACTGCCATTGAGAAATGTTGTCCCGGCTACCTCGCCCTTAGTAATGCAGATGGGGCAGTTTTGTGTGTGGAGGGAACATGATTTCAGCTGTAAGGAGTGCTGCATGATCAGAGTTCTAGAGCCATTAACAAGCCAAGTGTCTGTGTGCTTGTTTTTAAGGTTGAGGAGTTTATTAGGGAAATAGGAGAGGCAAAGATACCCAGGTGACAAGAGAAAAAAAAATCACTCTGAAATGCTCCGTCAAGCCAAGTGGGGCCTGCCCTTGATCTCGCCACAAGGATAAGAAACTGATGGGTTAGCAAGAGCATTCGCTGGCAGCCACCTAGCCAGGGCTTGAGTGTCTCAGCCAGGACTGGCCCCACTCCCTGCCAAAGGTGTGCATGAGACAAAAGAATGTGTCTGCAAAGCTACTTCCCAGCAGCATCCTGGCACAGTTCTTGGGGAGAGCCTCACCTTTTCTCACCTGGGCTTCACTGTGCTCTCTCCTCCCTTGAAGGGCTTCTCACTCAGTGCTGCGAGTCTTGAACAACAAGCATATGGGATGAGTTGAGAAAGTCCGTGATTTTCTTTGTGACCCAACGTACTCCTGATTGCGCCCAGTCCTGGTGAATCTGTTGCTGCACTGGGTCCTCTTGTCCGGCCGTGGGTGCCTTCAGGAAGGCTGCAAACCGAGTTTAGGAAGGCAGCTGATGGGAATTGGGATAGGAAAGGGAGGAGATCACTTAGAGAAGTAAGAGAAGTAGGCAGAACTTAGCCCTAGGTATCACAGTGGGCGGTAGAGAACCTGATGAGAGCTACACTAGCAAAGACCTGTCTTGAGCCTGTGGCATGTGGATAGGCCTGGGGAGCGATACTAGCAGAGGAGCAGCCAATAGAGTGATCTGCTCCGTGGGAGTCAAGGACAAGAAATACAATGTCAGAAATGTTTCTTCTGTGGATTCCTTCACACCTTCCAGCCTTAAGATTTCATTATTTTAATCCTTCCTTTTTGGTATAAGTTGGCTAGGGTTTGTAGCATCAGGAATGTTTGTTCTTGAAAGAGAAGTGCCCTACTAAACTGTATTTCCGGTGTTCCTCATTACAGGCTGCTGCTGATGAATACAATAGACTGAAGCAAGTTAAGGGAGTAAGTATCCTGGATTTGAAGGTTCTCTGGGGAGGAACTTCCCTTTTACATGCTTTTAGGTTAGCCTGTAGAATGTGTGTGAATGCCTGGTTATAGACAAAAGACCTGTGATTGTGAGAGGGAAAAACTAAAAGGAGACCTTAGTTTCAATGCAGTTACAACCAATTCTGATGATTTCGGAACCTTTTTGAAAATTAAGGTATGCATAATGAAAAGGGCATAAATCAAATCTATGTAGCTTGAGAAGACATCACAAAATGACCCTATGCCTGTGTAACTGGCCCCCAGATCAAGAAGTTAATTTCTTAGCAGTGCCTCTCCCCAAACCAATCAAAACCCACTGCCTTTGAGTCCGTTCTTTTCTAGGTTTGACTCGCTCTGTGCGATGTAGAACTGCCCTAGATGGATGTCAATCTGTAAGTGAGCAGCCAGCCGTATCTTGCTCCCATGGAGCAACTCACTGGTGGCTTGGAACGGCTGACCGTGTAGTTAACAACTACCATGACGTTTTAAAAATTGTTACTATGGTGGCGAAAATATACACAACAGTATCTTTCACATCAGTACTTTTTCACACACACAATGCACTGACATTATGTTCCCGATGCTAAGCTGTCATCGCTACCACCTGTTGATACCCCGGTGCTCTTTAGCAGAGACTTTCTCATCCACCTGGAAACACATATACGGTGGTCTCTCTGCATCTGCCTATTCTAGATGCTTCAGGTAAGTGAGATCAGGTACGATGTTTGTCCCTTTGGGACTGACTTTACTTGGCATGCTTTTAGGATCATCCACGTTTCGACTTTTACCATCATCAAATACATTTGTCAGTTTTGAACTTTAGTAACTAGAACCAGGAGACCTGGTGGTGTAATGGTTATGCTTTAGGGCTGCTAATTGCAAGGTCAGCAGTTTGAAACCGCTGGCTGCTCCATAGAGAACTATTAGGCTTTCTAATCCTGGAAAGAGTTACAGCCTCTGAGACCCACAGGGAAAGTTCTCCCCTGGCTTCAAGGGTCGCTCTGAGTTGAAATCAGCTGACGGCAGAGCCACAGAGTGTGTCAGCTTTCAGTGGCTTCTTGGACCCACGTTTGTGGTTGTGAGGTCCATTCCTGTGGCGGCACTAGCTGAGGCGCATTCATTGCATTACTCTGTAGCACAGCTGACCCATCTGTTCCAAAATTTGTGAACATTTGGGTTGTCCCTGAGAGTAATAGTATGACAAACACGTTTGTAAATGTCTTTCTGTGCACACGTGTACAGGCGCCTGTGAGTGAAATTGCAGGCTCTCCAGACCTTAGTCTGTATATACTGCCAAACAGTTTTCCAAAGGTGTATCAATGTGCATTCGTACCTCCACCAAACACTGTGATGATGAGTCAAAAAGAATTGCTACAAAATAGTAGAAACCTTCATGGAACAAAATTACCAAGATGTGAAGCTGCTGTTTCAAGACACAGCCTCCGTCTGCGTGCATGCCCTGCTGAAGGCAGCGTCTGCACCTCTGCACCCTTCCCGGGAGAACCCGCGCTGCTCCTCTTAGCCACGTCCCAACGGCGCTCTGGCAACCTTGAGCGCACCTGTGGTGCTCCTGTGAAATGTTCTTTCCGATTTGAGGACCAAAAAGAAGTCTGACAGGGCAAGATCAGGACTGTGGGGTGGATTAGAGGTGACAGCGACGGGGGAGTAAGGTTTCCCAATGAAATTCTTGTAGAAAGCCCTGGTTACCATCATAGAATGAGCAGCGGTGTACTGTGGTGAAAAAATCCCTCGGCACAATTTTCCTGGCCGTTTCCTCACCAATGCAGTTTTCCGTCTTAAAACTTCTTCCTAATAGCCCCTATGGTCATCCTGTGCCCTTTGATGAAATCTTTCATGATTACCCCTGTGGTACCCCAAAAAGCAGTTGTCATACTCTCTGATCCCTCTGCTTTAAATGTAAGTGGCCCAACACTTTCCCCCAGAACCACGGTATCGATTGGGCCTTTTTCCTTGGAGGCACCCCATGGAGACTAAGACAGTGCATCACTGAAATAATTTGTCTGCAGCCCTCCAGTGATAGCAAGGACATGTTTAAACACATTTTATTTGGAATAAACCAGTGAACTGGAACCATGGTAGGAATATATATATTTTTAGGATTTTTTTTAACTGACTTCATATATACTTGGCGCTCCATCTCCTTGCCAATGATGTGACGTCACCCATCTTTATTCACTTAAAACATTTTTTGTTTGTTAAAGAAAATGGGTTAAATTAATTTAAAATCCTATTGAGGTTTTAGATGATGTCATAGCAAAAGTATCAATACATTTTCTTGGTTAGTTACAAATACTTAAAATGGGAGAAGCCTTTGCAAGACTCAAGATGACAGGATAGAGGAGCAGGACGTCAGCTAGCTACACCGTGAGTGACTCCTGGTGCTGGCCTTGCTTGCTTTCCGTCAGTTAACACTCCCAACGGCTGTTCGACCAGTAAACAAGCTCACAGCCATTGAATCCATTCCGACTCCTGGTGACCCTGTAAGACCTGCCCCCAAGACTAAAAGCTTCATGGACGCCGAAAGCCTCATTTTCTCCCTTGGAGTGGCTGGTGGTTTCCAACCGCTGACCTGTGGCTAGCGGCAGAACGCTTAGCCTCTCCACCACCAGGGCTCTGACAGACAGTACTCTTTTACTTTTCCTCTTCGCCTTTCCAGCAGCTAACACATGACCCGTTTTTATTTTATTGAATTTGTCTATTTTTTCCTACTCTTTTTTAGTCTGTAGATTACAAAAGTAAGAGGAATTACTGCAAGCAGCTGAAGAGCAAGTTGTCGCATATCAAGAAGATGGTTAGTGATTATGATAAACGGAAAACATAGAAGATGTATGTCGCCTTGCCTGGGAGATGAAGGCATGTCTGTTTCTGCAGTGTCTGTTCTCAGAAGACAGATGACTGGATTGTAGCCTGGCCCACCAAACCTTTGTGGTCATTACAAAGTCTTGGTAGCTTTCATATCGCTATCAATATCATCAGTATTGCAGCATTTGATATAGTTTTTGAAAATCAACTGGGCTGGAACACTCCGATTAGGGATTTTAATACTTTAAACATGGATTCTTGTGTGAAGAACTAACTACTGTTGGAGGTTTTAAAATCTTAAAGGAAGGTCCTGCTGTGAACTGTACTATGAAGGTTCATACCCAGGGCATATCTTAATAATAACAATAATGAACAATATATAATTCACATAATTGATCTCATTTAATCCTCCCAGCTATACTTTAGAGAACTGCTATTCCTAATCTTCCTTCTCAGGTAAGGAAACTTGGTTCCCTGCATGGCACTCTCCAAAGTGAAACTGCTCCTGTCCTAGCGTGCTGTTTCGGTGAAGTCTGTTTGATGATTCCACCAATAAAGTCCTTGCCCTTTCATATTTCAGTTATTGGCATGTACGCTGTATGCTGCCAGTTTCCCCAACTACGTGCAGGGCTAAAATGAACTTGTTTCATTTTGTCCTAATAATAGAGATCATGTAAAATTAACCAACAGATTTAACATTGTAAATACACATTTACATTTTTAAAATCAAAATTTAAACTTAATGGTTAGAGTTTTGTGTATTTTAAAATACTTTTTATTTTTTATGGTTTACATTTTTTTTAACCCACTAGAGTTTTTCATTATAACTGAATCTCCAATTGCCTTTATCATTCAACTGTGACTTGAATTGTACCTTTTAGGAATGTTCAAGTTCTGTACATATTTTGTAAGGTATTAAACCTGATGTTCTCTTTCTGTATTATTCCTGTTTGATGTTATTAGTGCTGTTAATACTGAGCCGTGGAAAACATTACTCAGGGCTGTATTTGCTTTAAGCTATTGTGGGTGCTGTGTTTGTTGGTGGTTTCCCAAGCCTTTGGTTCTCAGAAGGCTGATTTATCTGGGTATAGGATGAACGGTATACCATACAACACCAAATTATTTCCAATGGTGCCTTTCAATATCAGCGTATTCTTAAAAAATCAGATTCTTCTTCATAAAGTAAAATTCGATGATATGCTGTGTATTTAGCCAAGTTGATTGTGATCATTTCAGTTTTTAGAACTGCTCTCTCCAGTTTTGGTTTTATGAAAGCCATTTAATAATCATCTTTAAATCAATCTGTACGATGTGATTATGACATTCAAATGTATAGGTTTTCATAGACAAGTCTGGTGACTTTCCAAAGGCAGACTTCAAGCAACGAGGCCTCTATCACAATGCTTATTGCTTCAAATTGGAGAAATTCTTACCTTTTGCTGTACATACCTGTGATACAAAAGTAATAATAATCAGCTGGTGTTCAGTTCACAGCAGATGGAAAGGGCTTTCGAGCACTTTAACTGATTTTTACATCTGTTAAATTTCCAACTCCTTGTCTTGGAGATCAGCGTACTTAAGTTTGTGAAGGCAAGTCAGCAGTAAATAGTCTGACCAGAGAAAACGTTTTGCCTGAATGAAGAGAGTGATACAAGTTCGCAGTGTAATGTTCCATAAAGGTGTAATTTGAAATAAATAAAAAAGAATAAGAAAATCTGTTTTCAAATGTGGAACTTACACTAAGGGTCATTAGCGGTGCGTACCTGTGAAATGCTACTCAGGTGGCTTCCAAGTCCGTAAAGAAGGGGCTTCTTCCATGTCCGACCTTGGCTCTACTGTACACCGCTGTTCCACGGAGCATGTTGTGACACCCTGTGGTCCCTCTCCTAAAGGTTCATTGCGGAAAGCGAGGCTCACCCTACATGTGTGACGATGTGTTGACCGTGGCTAGGACCAGGAAAGTATAAGCATACATGTATCCACCACCCAGAAATAAATGTTAATTTTTGTTGTATTTTTTTGAAATAAAATTATCTACTGGTATTGATAGTAATGGTTAATAGTTCATATATTAACTATTTGTATTAAAGGGGATTGAAAAGGTTTATGGAAATTCTCTACTCTCTTTCCATTTTCCAAGAACTCTTTGAAGCCCCTCATTTAATAATATATCTTGAAATCTCATTTAATCCTCACAGCAGTCTTTTGACTTATAACCATTACGACACTCATTCTTCCATTACAGATGAAGGCAGTAATGATTTGATAGCTTGAACTGCCCCCTGGTCACACACTAGGAAGAGAGGCTCAGTTTAGGTTTAAAATCTCTGTCTGTTTTGACTTAAGGCAGCAGTTCTCAACCTGTGGGTTGCGACCCCTTTGGGGATTGAACAACCTTTTCACAGGGGTCACCCAATTCATAACAGTAGCAAAATTACAGTTATGAAGTAGCAACGAAAATAATTTTATGGTTGGGGGGTCACCACAACATGAGTAACTGTAATAGGCAATAGGAAGGTTGAGCACCACTGACTTAGGTCTACACTTCCATCCTAGGTTGAATTCCTTAATCGATTACATCCTGTGGGAATGCTGTGGTTGCTGTTTACCCTTTTCTTCATTTTGAGTGCATTTTAAATACTCGAACACAAAGGGACTCTGTGAAACACTTATCTATAAACCCTTGAATGAGTACATTGGCACTTGGGACCTTTGCTACTCTTCGGGTTATTGGAACCCCTCATAGAGAGACATTCTTCCTACTAAAAGCAGTGACATAAAAGTATCTCCCATCTCACCATTTTCAAAGTCTTGCCATCCTTGCCTCTAAGGAGCACTCTGGCCTCCCCTCTTCCAAGGTAGATCTGTTTGTGTTTTAGCAGTCCATGGTACTTTCAATATTCTCCCTCACCACAATTCATATGCATCGGTTCTTCTTCAGTCGTCCTTATTCAACATCCAGCTCTCGTGGATATGATGCAACGGGAACACCATGGCTGTACCGTAGTCCTCAAAGTCACAGCTTTGCTCTTCAGTCCTCTAAAGAGGTCTGTGCAGCAGATTTACCTCATGCAGTATGTCTTTTGATCTCGTGAGTGCTGCTTCTATGAGCATATTGTTCCAAATTTGAATAATAGTTGTATTGATTGGATTTCCCTCAAGGCAGATAGATATCATCCTATCAGATAGCATTGTACATAATAACAGATTTAGTAAGATCCTTTCTAACAATACCATGTCATTCCTCCTGATGGTGTTATTCCTGGCATCGTATAAATGATTTTGATGCAAAATGACCAATACCAGTCCCTTTCAGCTTACTAATGCCTAAGATATGGATCTTCATGTGGTCCAATTCATTTTTGACTACTTCCAGTTTTTCCTAAATTCATACTAAGCACATTCCAAGTTCCAATTGTTAGAAGATTTTGCAGCTGTTTTTTCTTATCTTCAGTGGTGCCACATCCCGAAAGCTCCACTCCACAGACTTTACTCTTCTCCATGAAGTCAGCTCCTGCCACCCGAGTGCCCGGGGACCTGACGGGCCCATCCTCCAGCATATCTCCGACAGTGTTCCGCTGCTCTTGTGCAGGCCTTCAGGATCTGACAATGTTAAGAAATGGTTTTAAGTGGCTTCATCCTCCAAAGTGGGGAGCCGATCCCTCCTTCGCTGTCCTTAAGCTGGAAGCTTTGCTGAAACCTGTTCACTTTAGGTGACCCTGCTAGCATTTGAAATACCAGTGACTTTGCTTCAGCATCACAGCAACACACAAGCCACCATGGTACGACAAACTGACAGACAATTGGTGTACATGTATGCTAGATTTGATCATTTTAATGACTACATACAACTCAGACTATATACTCAAATTAAGGGGATTTATAAGGGAAGTTAATAGATTGTCACAAGTCAGGATCAGCAAATAATAAGGTATAGCCATTGATCTCCTCAGCAGCCAACTCTCCACCTTTCAGCAATGAAGTAGCCAAGTTTCTCTCCTCAGCCACATGGTAACCAAGTCTCTCTGGTTTTTAATGTTTCAGCCATGTAGTCCCTTGGCCTTTGCCTCCATGGGCCAGGAAGGCAGCCTGCCTGTCTCTCCATTCCATAGGTCCATAGTCTTGGACCAGCTGAAGAGAAAGGACCCCACAGTATCAGGGCTGATCCTTGGAGTCTCCATGGCCTCCACCTCTACAGACAATGATCCTGAATGTGCTCTCCTGAGATCTTGTGGGTTTCTCTCTGCTTCTGCATCTTTCTAGCCAGGAGGGTAATAACATACTGACCAGTCCCCTCTACTAGGGCTATGCACACCCATTGGTGGTGGGAGTTCCAGAGACGTGGGAAGAAGAGCCATAGGAAGAAATTTCACTCTGCCATACCCTTGCACCACCACTAACTTCCTGTTCGAATTTCTCCTTTTTTCTTAAGGAAAGGGTCAGCAAAAAAAAAGAGTAAGTCCCTCGGTGTGATGGCTTGACACAGTGGCTGCTAGAATGGGTGCAAACGTAACAATTGTGAGATTGGCCCAGGCCCAGGCAGTGCTTTCATTCTGCTGCACACGGGGCTACTGTGAGTCAGAACTGAACCAAGGGTACCTAGCAACCTTTCCTCACCTCCTGAGCTGTGTCCTTGAGTAAATGCTGCCCTTTTGATCAAAATTGGCTGATCATGCTCGTGCAGAGATGAGGTCAGTTCCAGATCTGAAGGGTGAAGGCTATCATCTTAGGGGTTCCATTTGCCTGTAGCTGTTAAGTCTGGTTTTTCAGTTTTGTTTAACATACCCCCCCTGCCCCGCCCCCCCGCACTCTCCAGGACCACCTTATGTGGTCCATCCATTGCAGGGCAGTTGGTAGTGGTGGCTGGGCACCATCTAGTTTTTTGTTACTGAGACTGGCATTTGCCTGGCTCATTAGTCCACTGTACTCATTGTTTCCATGTGTCTTTCAGTTTTTGTCACTCTTCTAAGGGAGAGGGGAAAGATAAATGACTGATGGAGGGCTGTATCATTATGTATTTCACATTGGTAACGTTTCTGCTGATGGGAACAGTTTTCGGGAACAAGTGGATCATTTGGGTAGTTAAAAAAAAGACATGGTATTAGCAAATTAAAACAACAGTATTTGGGATTTGGAAAAAAACATGGACTAATGGCGATGCTTCCTTACACAATGCAACAGGACCTGTCTGTCCCTCCCTGCATGCCTGTCTAGTCTTCCTCTGCCCTGAAGTACGGTCATGCGCCCATGGACCAGTTACAGTCTCCCTGTACTGCAGTTCTCCTTCTCTATAAAATAGAGATTCTTGTACGTAATCTCTTAGAGTCGTTGGCAGGTAGTTAATGTGTGACTCATAACAATCAATGCTCGAAAATAAGTACTCAGTCAATAAGGTCAGTTATGGTTACAGTTTCCCACCTATACTCTTCTAAAGCCAAAATATGAATCGGTAACCCTTTAGTTTTTGTAAAGTAAGTAGTGTTTGGTAAACTGCATATATCATCCTCTATGTTTGGTCTGTGCTGGATGCATGCTAAAGCAGAATGTAAGTAATTTTGAATTATCGAAAGATGCTGCATCCAGCTTGGCATTGTGGTATTCATAGATGCCACAATACTGCTGAGGATAGAACAAATTGAGTGTACATAGTAAGATCAGGAGTATTCAGTACTGTTACAGGCTATTTTCGGGCTGGGGTGTTTAAATGAGTCTTGTTCTCTGTGGAATATTTACACTAGCTCCATCTAAAGGTCTTAGAATAGTCAGGTTCATCTCTCCCAGTTCTTTTCAGGAGCCAAGCTTTTTTGCAGTCAGCTTGATTCCACTGGCTGGGCTGTTCATGGATTTCCTAACTCCACGGGTTGTGTTCAGCCGTCCATGGGCAAAGAACAGAGAGTTCCATTCTTTCTAGGTGTCTCTTAGTTTTATAAGTTTAAACATTAGACTGGGTTAGAGGATTTCCTTATCCTACCACTCTGTGTTACTCATAATTTTGCTGAGGTAATACCACGGATTTATGGATATTTTGTTCTGTTTGGGGCTAAAATGTTTACAGGGTAAACATGACAGTTGGGAAAATTCTAAATGAATCACCCTCCTCTCCAGAAACAAGCGTTCACATTTTACTGTACTGGGGAGTCCCCCAGGAACCCTAGTGGCATAGTGGTTACACGTCGAGCTGCGATCTTCACGTTTGCCAATTTGAAACCACCAGCTGCTCCTTGGGAGGAAGCTAGGGCTTTCTACTCCCATCAACAGTTCCGGTCTCGGGTAGTTCTGCTCTGTCCAATGGATTCGCTGTGAGCCTGCATGGACGAGATGGCAGCGAGAGGGGAGTCCTCGGCTCTTCAAGACAGCAACAAAGACTACCCAGATCTCAGGCTAACACCGACAAAAGGGAACCTGCTTTCACTCATGGTCCTGCCTCAGAATTGGATGACCAACTAGAACCAACAAATAAAGAGAGTGGTGTTTCTGTGTCAGCTTCCTATAAATTGGTTCAATAGGGAGACAAAGATAGAAGACTGGCATTGAGGGGAAAAACTGCCAATGCTCATTTCCCTTTGGAAACTGTTAGACAATGTGCACACAAACACCCCGGCTTCTTGGGGGGAAACACGGTTCATGTTTCTGAGGGGAATCAACCCAGAGGGGAAACCTTGGTACCAACAAAACAGTACAGGCAACAGAAGAGCTGCATGTGAAGATGAGGTTAAAAGTATTGCTGCAAAATAGTACACACTTTTATTGAACCAAAATAGCAACATGTGACACTTGTTTCTTGACATCCTTGATCTAGGTGTATACTAGGGGTTACCCCTAAAAAACAATTTTTTTTCAAAGCTATGTATTTAAATTTTTTACAAAACAGCCTTATCACCTTCAAAGCACTCTCCATTTACACTTAATACATTTGTCAAATCTGCAATTCCTTTCTTGGAAACATTTTTGAAACTTATCTGTTTGGATGGCTGACAGCACCTCCTTTTTTTTTCCACCTCTTCTACATCGTCAAATCCCTGTCCTTTCCTATCCCTCTTCGT